AGCAGTAAGTAAAAACCAGCAGGGTTCTTCGGGGGAGCAGTAAAAGTATAGCTGGGGACATGAACAGGGACTAGGTCATTGAGGGCCTTCCATACTACACTAAAGAGCTAAAACTTTACCCTGAAAGCCACAAAGAACTATGAAAAATTTTCAGCAGGGAAATTACATTATCAGATGTGGATGTGAAAAAGATTTCTACGGTAGCTGTGTACTACACAAGTGAAAAGGGAGGAAAAGTGAAGGCATAGAAAGTTTCATAGCCTACCTCAGTGATACAGGACTGACGAGATCCTGAACTGGCAGGGTCAGCATGAACAGGGAGAAGGATAATTTTTCTTTAAAGATTTTATTTACTTAATTTATTTATTTGACAGAGAGAGAGCACAAGCAGAGAGAACGACAGACAGGGGGAGAATGTGGGGCTCAATCCCAGGACCCTGGGATCATGACCTGAGCCAAAGGCAGCTACTTAACCGACGAGCCACCCAGGCACCCAAAGAAAGGGATAATTAATATTAAGAATGTACAGGACTTGGTAAAAGTAGATGTGGTAGAAAGGGCGCTAAGAGAGAAGAATTTAGGATGACTCTTGGTTATTCAGTTTAGACAGGGGGTACAGAGTGCTGCCATGTTTGGAGAAATGGTAGAAGCAAGAGTGAACTGAATTTACATACAGGTATAAAGTTTAGACTCAGATATAGGGACCAGAGGAAAGGATGGCTGTGTCTGCTGAGAGCTGAGAAACGGAAAGAGGTTTCACTTAATGGTCTCTATTTTTACAGTGAAATAAAAAGCGAGATCATCTGCTAAGACTAAGAAGAGAAATGGTGGGGAGAGGAAGGTGAGAAAGGGAGGTAAAAGTTTGGGACAGCCCTGAGAGGAAGAGGGAGCCCCGAGGATTCAGGTGATGTTAGCAGACACATAGGTGGAGGGTTGTCTCCAGCAGCACTCAGTAGCCCGGATGTAAGGACAGAGAAGTCAGGCAGCTGACCTGACCCAGGACTGGAGTACTACAGAAGAATGAGAGGAAAGAGAATTGAGGGTAACACCAAGGGGGTAATCCAAGCAGGGGACGTGCCCTGAGGCTGGCATGAGGAAGACATGCTTCCAGGGAGCTGGAAGATTGGTGGGAAATGGAGTGAGGTCACAGAACAAGAAAGGGGATATGAAGTGGTCAAAGTGTAGACTCACTGGGAACGAGCAGACTGCTGGAAGGAAGGACAGTTATGGTCACGTACAGGATGTTGAAAGAGCCTGGCTCACTGCTCTGCACCCAGGAGATGCTCACCAGACTAACTGATTTGCTAGGCAAGCTGCAAGGGCTTCTACACATACCGGTTACATAAACTAGCATTTGGAGAGAAATTTCCAAAACAAATCTTCATGCACCTTGTTGATTTCAATTTAGTGCAGACTCCGAAATGACACCTACAGTAATGCTGCCAGGGGTGCCAGGGTGCCTCAGTCGGTTGAACGTCTGACTCTTGGCTTCGGCTCAGGTCATTATCTCGGGGTCCTCAGATCGAGCCCTGTGACAGGCTCTGCACTCAGCGTGGAGTCTCTTTGTTCCTCTCTCTCTCTGCTCCTCCCCTACTCTCCTTCTCTTTCTCTCTCATAAATAAATAAAATCTTTTTAAAAAAATATGTCCAACAATAAGTCCCTCGATGTGCTACTTACCTATCTATCATATGAGTTCATCAGGCGAGCTCAAAACATTTTTTTTTTCAAGATTTTATTTATTTATTTAAGAAAGAGAGAGAGAGAGAACATGAACCTCATGAGCCAGGGGAGCGGTAGAGGGAGAGGGAGAAGCAGGCTTCCCGCTGAGCAGGGAGCCCAGTGCAGCGCTCAACTGCAGGACCCTGAGATCACGACCTGCACCGAAAGCAGGCGTTTAACCAACTGAGCCCCACAGATGCCCCATGCTCAGAATATTTTTTTAAAAAGAAGAATCATGCTTAGTATTTCAGTTCCTGCTTTTTGTCCCAGGGTACTTCTATGAATCAACTAATGATGTCTTTTAAAGTGCAGGCTCACCATCTTCTACTGGGGAAGAGTCCTATTTGTTGCTCCCCTTCCTTAGGCCAGCAATACCCCCCAAGAATATAATCTGGGAATTAGGAAGGGACCCACAAAAGCAGGACAATGGCCATAACAAAGCTACCAGGTATCCAGGAGAAAATCATCAAATATGTGACTAAACTGAATATTACTTCCTTGGTTTTGGGGTTTTTTTGGTTAACTCAGGGTGTCCTCTTTACAATTATAATTACATTAAAATACATACTATCCTCAAAGAGTACAAAGCACTTAGCAGATTTCTATTAAGTAAATTCACCTTAAATTTTTTAAAATTAATTTAGTTGTGAGAAAGAGAGAGAGCAGGGAGTGGGCAGGAGCAGAGGGAGAAGAAAAGAGAATCCAAGCAGCCTCCACACCGATCACAGAGCCCAACTTGCTGAGCACAGAGCTGGACTCGGAACTCTAACCTCACAACCCGGAGATCATGACCTGAGCTGAAACCAAGAGTTGGACGCTTAACTGACTGTGCCACCCGGGCACTCTGTAAACTCACCTTTATATAGCATCAATGTGAAATTCTCTCCTCCCAGCCAGGGCCACTGCAATGTGGGCCACTGTCACTCTCATGCAGGCTCTGACAGGTTAAGTCTCCTAACTGGTCCTCTACACTACTCCCATCCACTTTCCACCTGCCAAAGTAATTTATCTAAAATGCAGAACTCCTCCTTTGAGACCTCTCCTCACTTAAAATCTTTCAGTATCTCTATCAGGGAAAAACCCAAACTCCTGATACATGAGTCTTTTGTGACAGGCTTCCCACTGCTGTACTGGTCTCATTCCTCCCCACCTCCCTACAGCTCAGGTGCTGTTCTCTCTTGTCTGTAGGCCGCCTGCCTACAATGTTTTTCCCCTATTCTTTGCCCCAGTTCCTCCCTGTACCAACCTCCACCCCTGGAACTCTTTCTTTGCAAGTTACTGGTTTAATCCAGGATCAAACCAAGGCTCATGCACTGCGTGCGGAGTTCATATTCCCCTTCACCTTTCAGGATTTAATTCTGGAAATCACTTCCTCTGGGAATGCCTCTCTGACTCCCCCGCCTCGTTTGGGTTCCATTACCCCTTCTACGTGCTCTCATACCACCACTATTATGGTATCATTATACTAGTTTGTAATTATCTATTTGTCATCTCTCCTAGTCAACAATAAGCTCCACGAGGACCTTCTATTCTCCAGGCCCATATTGTCAGGCTCGCAGTAGACACTCAGTAAGTGTTGGCTGGCGGAATGAGAGCTATGAACAGGAAACATGACTGTTATGGCCTGAATTGGGTCCCCCGCAGATTCATGTGTTGAAGCCCTCACCAGCAATTTGATTGTATTTGGAGATAAGGCCTTTAATGAAGTAATTAAAGTTAAATGAGATCATAAGGATCAGGCTCTAATCCAATAGGTCTGGTGTCCTTACACAAAGACGAGAGACACTGCGATTAAGCACACGGGGAAGAAAGGCCATGTGAGGACAGAGAGTGAAGGCAGCAGTGCTATGCTAGTCAAGAAGACAGGCTTCACCAGAAACCAACCCTGCTGGCATCTTAATCTTGGACTTCCAGCCTTTACAACTGTGAGACAATAAATTACTATTGTTTAAGTCACCCAGTCTGTGATGACTCTGTGATGGCAGTCTGAGCAGACAAACACAATGACCAATATCTCTGTGCCCACAGTTACTGTGGATGATGGAATGCAATCCATCCATCCCTGCTAGAACAAAGATAAATACAGAAGACTTCTTCCACCTACTTCTGGAAAAGTGAACTCCACATTCCACAGAAACTGTGACAGAAAGTGTCATTCTGATGACTGTAACACATAAGAAAGCCCAATTCTATCTTCCAGACCACGAGCAGTAAACTGTTAGCATCTATCACCATCTGGGCTTATCCACTCAGAAGGCAGAGAAAGTGGTCAGAGATCACATTAAGAGTGTAGAGTACACATCAAAAGGAAATCTTTCACAGAGCCTAGAATTATCATGACAGATTCACCTTCCCAGCTTCTGCTAAGACTGCTGCTAATGTCTCTGTTTCACCATCCCCCTCCAGCCTGTGAAGATGATGGCAGAGGCCATGTTGTTGGTGGGAGGTGGCAGGGTGTCCAATCACTAACAATACCAGGTATAGCATTATGCTTCTAGCACACTCTTCATAATCACTGACACATGGATCTTCATGGACAACTGACCGACCTTCAAAGCATTATCATTCAATTCTCAAACAGATTGGTCCTTAGGCTCTTTCTCAAACATTCTTTCTCATGCTGACCTTTTACGGTTACCGCCTTTCACACCTGGAAAATGATTCAACCAATGAGCTTGCTACTTTTCCCTCAGAGCTCTGACTCATCAGCAGGCCAAGATTTTCTTGATAAAAGCACATTTTAGAATTTAAATAAAATCATCAGGGTTCACATTATTTAGACTTCCATGTTAAGAAACTTGGAAAACTGAATATTTGACCAAATTCTATGCACACCTTGCTCTTGCTGTAGTACCCAAAAGAGAACAGAGATCCACTGAATATTTCTTTCCAAAGGCTTACTTACAATGTTATTGTTTGAAATTTGTTTTGGTGCTGAATAACATAATCAAAATATTCCCAAAGCCTGAACTTCTAAAAAAAACCAGGTTCAAAGCAAGTGAAGCAGGTGTTAGATGCTTTTCAAAATCTTGATCATACTTAGGACCCAACAATCAGCTGCTATTATTTTCAAGGTATTATTGAATCTGAAAAAAACATTTTTTTTTTTATTGAATCTAACACAAGGTGCTGAAAAAGCTAAAAATCATTAGAGGATTTTATTTGTGCACTTGTTTTTCAAATAAAAATTAGACTGAAACTAGGAACACAAACACGACTGGATGCTACATATAAATCCACACACGCACACAGGGGTTTTACTCTTGACAGCATCATTTACCTTCTGCCCTTCTCACAAAGCTTCTCGATTTCAGCTTTCAGATCCTGCTCCTTCTGCAAAAACTCCTTCTTTTCTTTCTCTATCTTCTTCTTTGTTTCTTCTCGCTTTATTGTTACATCCTGGATAGCTTTTAGTATCTCCTGAGTCCCCCATAATTACAGTCACACACAAATAAAGAAGGAAATGAATTAGTTCTTTTGGTCTGAAGGTTATTTTCAACGAACACAAATTAATACATGGACTCTGGTAAATTCAAGCTGAATTGAAGGAATCGGGTTGATGCGTAGCTCTGAAAGCCAGTATTTAGATGTAAGAGAGAAAGTTACAATAAAGCAGATTTCAATTCAGCAGGAGCAAAAATTTCTAACAATCACAACTGTTCAAAATGGAATTTACTGCCTTGAGAAGCAACAACCCCTCCATTACCCATGTTCAGATAAAGGCCAAATGAACACCTGCTAAGAATGCTGAGAAAGGCATTCTTATACGGGGTGGGAATTCATTATGTCCTACAAAAATGGTCCTGTTTTGTTTTGTTAAGGTTCTGCTTTCTTATGTGTGAGGAGTTTTTTGGTTCCTCTTGTACTTTAACAAAAATATATGTCTTTGCAGTAAGAAGTGGAATAGTAAAAAAGTGATAGTTAAGTCACTCCTTAATCCATGCCAATTCCACCCATAATTAATATGTTCACTGTTTCGTAGAACTGCTTTCACATCTTTATTCTCACACAAACACACATATACTTAAATATGTAGTTCTTTGCTTTTGTGTTTCTTCCAAATGAGATGATTTTTTTTTTTTAAGATTGTTATTTATTTACTTGTCAGAGAAAGAGACAGAGAGAGAACACAAGCAGGAGGAGCGGCAGGCAAAGGGAGTAGCAGACTCCCCATGCAGGACTTGATCCCAAGACCCCGGGACCACAATCTAAGCCAAAGGCAGACACTTAACCAACTGAGCCACCCAGGCTCAGTCAATCATGAGATGATTTTATACACATTATTTTGCATCCTGCTTTTTTTCACTTGATGTGAGCATACTGTCAATACAGATTTAACTGGGGACACTTGCGTGGTTCAGTTGGTTAAACATGTGATTGGTTTCGGCTCGGGTCATGATCTCAGGGCTGCGGGATTGAGCCCCGTCAGGCTCCGTGCTCAGTGCAGATGTGCCTGGGATTCTCTCCCTTCTCTCTCTACCACGCCCCCACTCAAGTGTACTCTCTTTTTCTCAAATAAATAATCTTAAAAAGTAAAGTAAAGGGACGCCTGGGTGGCTCAGTTGGTTAAGCAGCTGCCTTTGGCTCGGGTCATGATCCCAGCGTCCTGGGATCGAGTCCCACATCGGGCTCCTTGCTCGTCAGGGAGCCTGCTTCTCCCTCTGCCTCTGCCTGCCATTCTGTCTGCCTGTGCTCGCTCTCTCTCCCTCTCTCTCTCTGACAAATAAATAAATAAAATCTTTAAAAAAAAAAAAAAAAAAAGTAAAGTAAAATAAATATATAGATTTAACTTAAAAATAGCAGTATATGACATAACATGTATATGTATATATATCCAATTTATCTAACCATTCTATGTAAGGAGTCCGACAAGTTGACTCCAGTTTTCTCTAACTACACAAAATACTGCAATAAATACACTGTGTATCTACATTTTCATATATAAACTTTTATTTCTGTAGAAAAGACTTAATGAAATGATTGCTAGGTCATTGTATATTTTAAGTCTTAACTGACAATTCTCAGTAACTTTTGCAAAAACGCTGTAACAATTCATATACAAATGTCTGGAAAGGGTTCATTTTTCCTCACTCTTGATAACCTATTTCATTTTTGCCAATCTTCTGAGGGGAGAGAGAAGAATGGTATCTAATCATTTTAAGAAACATTCTCCTAACTCCCATTCTCTACTGTTTGTGCAGTCGGCCTCCTCCAACTAAAATAAGCATTCAGTGCAGAGACTATGTTCCCTTTACTGCTAAATTTACAGAGACTGGATCAGGAACTCTGAAAATATTTGCTAAATGAATGAATGAATGAATTCCAGTGAGTCTGAGGCTGAGCTTTTTATATATTATCCACTTGCTTTTCTTCTTCTGTATACTACCGTTTATAATTGTTTTAAAGATTTTATTTATGTATTTGAGAGAGAGAGTGCGCACAAGCGCATGAGCAGAGAGCCCAACTCAGGGCTTGATCCCAGGACCCTGAGATCTTGACCTGAGCTGAAGGCAGATGCTTTACTGGCTAGGCCACCAAGGTGCCCCACCATTAATAACTGTTGTAGGCAAAATAATAACACCTTCCCCCAAAATATGTCCATGTTCTAATCTAACCTAATCCCTGGGACCTGTGACTATGTTTCTTTCCACGGGAAAAGGGACTGTGCAGATCTGACTAAGGTAAAGACCCGGATGCAGGGAGACAGTCCTGGATCATCTGGGTAGGCACAATATAATCACACAGGTCTTTCAAGGTGGAGAACCTTTCTCAATTGTGATCTGAGGAAGTTGTGACTGGGGAGGAGTGGTCAGGCATGCAAATTTGCTGAACCTGAAGATGGAGAAGGGGTCCACAAGTCAAGGAATACAAGCAGCCTCTAGAAGCTGGAAATGTAGGGAGAGGTATTCTCCTCCAGAGTCCCCAGAAAGTGATGCAACCCTGCCAATACTTGGATGTTAGCCCAGTGACTTGTTGGACTTCTGACCTATAGGACTGTGAGATAATAAATTTGTGTTGTGTTCAGGTGGCAAATTGATGGTAATTTGTTACAGGAAAAACAGGACACTATACAATAACCCTTCCTGAGTTTTTTCTAGAGTACTTGACTTCTACCATGAACTTGTAGGAGACTCAGAACACAGATATGGATATTAAACCCTTTATCAGATGTGCTACAAATACTTTCCCAATCTACCACTGATCTTCTGATGTTTTTTGTATCATCTGCCATATCAGAAGTTTTAAAGTATACATAATTAAATCAATTCATTTTTCTATGGCTTCTGGGTTTTTTACCTGGCTTAAAGTGACCTCTTGCAAGCCAAGGTTTTATAAACATTCTCCTAAATTTCCTTCTAATTTACACTTTTTCCAGTTTTCATAAGTAGATTTTTAAATCTATTAGAATTATGTTTTGGGTTTTATTTTTAAGATTTTATTTATTTATTTGACAAATAGAGACAGTGAGAGAGGGAACACAAGCAGGGGGAGGTGGAGAGGGAGAAGCAGGCTTCCCGCTGAGCAGGGAGCCTGACGTGGGGCTCCATCCCAGGACTCTGAGATCATAGACCTGAGCTGAAGGCAGGCGCTTACAACTGAGTTACCAGGTGCCCCTAGAATTATTTTTTTAATATAACGTAAGAGTCTAATTACATGGTTTTCCAGGTAACAAATGTCAACAAAATATATTAATTAACTTCTGTCTCTAAACTAAAATAGAAGTGAGAGTTTGGGGGCTCCTGGGTGGCTCAGTCAGCTGAGTGTCCAACTCTTGGTTTCAGCTCTGGTCACGACCTCAGAGTCGTAGGATCAAGTGTCTCATTGGGCTCTGTGCTCAATGGGGAGTCTGCCTGAGATTCTCTCCCTATGCCCCTCCAATGGCTCAAGGACATGCACACTCTCTCTGTCAAATAAATAAAATCAAAACAAAAAACTGAGATTTTGAACAAGATACCCTCAAAGCTTCCTTTTATCCTTAAAATTCTAACACAACCATTAAAAAGATAAACATTGCTCTTCCACCAATTCAGAAACAAAATTACAGCCTGATTAGGGAGTGTAGCCATACTTATTGAGATTTAACATAAGCAGGGTACCTGGTGATTCTTCATTTCTTCTTCTCTCCTTTGCTGGAGCTGCTTTAATTGCACTTGGAGCTGATTCTCCACTTGCCTCTGCTTGTCCAGGACCTCCTGGTAACGCTCCTTCAACAGTGTTCTCTCTGTCATCATTTTGTCCTATGTGTAACAAGAGAAGAAAAGTTTAATTCCCAAGTTTAACTGCAAAAAACACCAGCTGCCTGTTTGAGGCACTGTGCAGAGCTCTAGGCTGCAGGGTCCAATATTCTAACTACTAGCCATGAGTAGCTATATAAACTTCAATTAATTAAAGTAAGAACATTTTAAAATACAGCCCCTCAGTCACCTAGCCACATTTCCAAGTACTCAGTATTTAGTCCCAAGAACAAATGGCTACCACACTGGACAACACAGATAGAGGACATTTCCATCACTACAGGAAACCCTGTTGCACAGCACGGCTCGGGGGAAGGGGGTGGCAAGGAATGGCCTGTGGGCCAAATCCAGCCATTGTCTGAATTTTTTTCTTAAGATTTATTTATTCATTTCAGGGAGGGGGGGAAGAGAGAGCACGCGAACTTGCGTGCACAAGCAGGTGGAGGGGCCGAGGGAGAGGAAGAAAAGCAGACTCCGTGCTGAGCTCGGATCCCACAACCCTGAGATCATGACCAGAGCCAAAATCAAGAGTTGGAAGCTCAACCAACTGAGCTACCCAGTGCCCCTATAAATAAATTTTATAGGAAAATAGACATTCCCAATGGATTATGGGCTGCTTTTATCCTACAATGAATGGAATGGTTGCAACAGAACCCACAGAGCCCCAAAGCCTAAGACATTTACCCTCTGACCTTTTACAGAAAAAATTTGCCAATCACTGCTCTAGGGAATAAGAAGAAGGAAGCATTTTATCAGAACAAGAAGAAATGAGTAGGTAAAAACAAAAATACAAAAAACAGATCACCTATTCAAAACTGCATCCAGAAAAGAGGATTCCTTACTGGCCATTAGTGCTGAAAATGGACAGATCCACTAAAGAGGTCTGGGGAACATGATATTCAGACTGGACAAATCAGCAAGCTCTCATACATGAGCACAAGAGTAGAAAAAAGGTTTCTGAGGATCACAGTTCAGCTCTGCCTCCCCATATCCGTAAATCAAGAAAAGTGATAGTTATGTTTCAAAGGGATGCTAAGAGACGGTCAATTTAAAACACACTTAGTATAAGGCAGCCCATGTCAAATTTAAACAAAGAGCATTCAACTGAACTTATTCATTAAAAGATTAACTATTTTCAAAGAAAAAACAGGTTTTAGAGGCAAACAAAGGAAAACTTATTACATTATGATAATAAAAACAAAGTTTCAAGATAGGACTTTAGCGGAGCACCTGGGTAATGTAGTCGGTTAAGTGTCCGACTCTTGGTTTCAGCTCAGGTCACGGTCTCAGGATTGTGAGATCCAGCCCTGCATAGGGCTCTGTTCTCAGCACAGAGCCTGCTTGGGATTCTCTCTCCCTCTCACTCTGCCCCTCCTCCTTGTGCTCCCTATCTAAAATAGATAAATAAATCTTTTTAAAAAAAAAGGGATTTTAGCTCTGCGATAAACTAGTCCTTAGTCCAGGTGCTGAAATGTGACTAGGGCTCCCAGAGACTCTCCAGTCTCATGTCTTTTTTTTTTTTTTTTAAGATTTTATTTATTTATTTGACAGACAGAGATCACAAGTAGGCAGAGAGGCAGGCAGAGAGAGAGAAGGGGAAGGGAAGCAGGCTCCCTGCTGAGCAGAGAGCCCGATGCGGGGCTTGATCCCCGCACCCTGGGATCATGACCTGAGCCGAAGGCAGAGGCTTAAACCACTGAGCCACCCAGCACCCTCAGGCTCACATCTTTATAGGGATTCTGAACCTGGGATCTATGGATCGCCCTCAAGGGTCTCTAAACTCTTTGAAATAGGGGAATGTGGTGGGGAGGATAAATTTTTCTGAGAGGAGAATTAAGTTTTCAAAAGATTCCAAAGGAGGACTTTAAACCAAGCAAAAGATTAAGAACCAATAAATGCAACTAGTAGGTAAGAGGAATATTTTCTTTCTTCAGCACAGCTCTTTCCCTTTATTTCCTTGTGGTACCTTCTCCGCCCACAATGCTTCTTTAGAGCAACAGAGGCCAGGGGAAAAAACCACCAGTCTCGTGGAAAGAAGTCTCAAGGTACACACTGTTAGTACATACAAAAACATAACTGAAAGGCTATAGAGTAAACTACTTCATCCATTATCATTTCATCTTAACAAGCCAAAGTTACTTGGTTTAATCAGTGTCTAATCAGTTCCAAGGACCAGAAGTTATAATTTCAAATGCAGCCAGTGGGAAATTACCATAAATGCACAAAAAAGAAAACAAAACAGGAGCCAGATTTCTTGCATTGCTACCAAGCTTAACACCTGGCCTAGTTCCACTGACTTGTTAAAAGCATGTGGGCCCAAGTGTATGTTAACTAACTAGAATTTAAAGGAAAACTTGAAAAAATAAAATAATATAAAATAAAACAAAATAAAGGCATGTAGGCCATCCCGCTACCCAAAAGAAAACAGCCACACAAAACATAACCCTGGGCCTCTTCTGGCCCAATCACTTGGTAGTTTCCATTCCTGCTTCAAACTGATGCTAAAACTTATTTATAACTTAGTTGCCCCTTGGATTGCTATAGTCATCAGAAGCCCACCATACAATTGTGGGGACAAAATAAATACTCTATGTGAAGTGCTTAGAGTAAGTATTCAAGAAAAGGTGAATCCCCACCCCGCCCCCTTCCCTGGGACTTCTCTTCTGGCTTGGTTTTCACCCAGCACATCTCCACCAGCTCGCTTATCTCTAGGATCTTTTTACCTGCTGTTAGGAGTAACTCCAAGTTGCTACCCTGTATTTAAAAAACTTTATTTACTTCATCTTGCTAATATACTCCCATAACTTCCTTCCTTCCATCTGCCCCTCAATTTCTTCAACTTGAACAAATACCTACTTTCTTATCTGGTTGCTGTAAGCACTTTCTCTCTTTTTTTTTTTTTTTTCACTCAGTTAACACATATTACCCTAAAAACCTTTCCTGATGCTAGGGTACCTTTCCCAGCATCATCCTTCCTCTTGAAAAATACACACTTTGATATCCATATTCTTTTTTTTTTTTTTTTTTAAGATTTTATTTATTTAGGGGCACCTGGGTGGCTCAGTTGGTTAAGCAGCTGCCTTCGGCTCAGGTCTTGATTCCAGGGTCCTGGGATCAAGTCCCACATTGGGCTCCTTGCTCGGCAGGGAGTTTGCTTCTCTTGCTGCCTCTCTGCCTGCTTGTGCGTACTCTCTCTCTCTCTCTGGCAAATAAATTTTTTAAAAAATCTTAAGATTTTATTTATTTATTTGACAGAGAGAGAGATCACAAGTAGGCAGAGAGGCAGGCAGAGAGAGAGGGGGGAAGCAGGCTCCCGGCTGAGCAGAGAGCCCAACGCAGGGCTCGATCCCAGGACCCTGAGACTGTGCCCTGAGCCAAAGGCAGAGGTTTAACTCACTGAGCCACCCAGGCGCCCCTGGTATCCATACTCTTGAGGGTGGAAGTTTCTACCACAAAATACCAGAGATAGATCAGAGACCATTTTAACAAAGATAAATGTGCAGCTTTCTAGGTTTTAAAAACCAATTACTAGGAATAAAAGGGAAGATACGACTCAACGGTACACCAGAAAAAGACCTGATGGGAGTTTGGCTGAAAGCTCAAAATGCTGAGCAGACTGCCACAGTTAGCCAAGGGAGACTTGAGAAATAGTGTCTGGCAGGATAGACAGAAGGAGAACCCCACTGTGTTGCAACTTCATTATTCTGTATTTGGATTATTGTATTTAGTTCTCAGGATCACATTTTCAAAGCAACATTGATAAGATGGAATGTGTCCAGGTGGAAAAGTCACCAGGGCAAGGGAAGGCTGGAAAATATATTCGATGAAGAAAAGAAGAATGTTAAAAACGTCTGGGAATGTTTTTTCTGGAAAGATTCATCCTTGAGGAGTAAGAGGAAGAGGGATAAACAAACTTCAAGGATACGCAGGGCCAACAAGTAAAGGAAGATTTGGATTTAGTCTACACAGCTCAGGAGAGCATTCTAAGTATGACAGGTGCTATCCTCACCTCAGAACAAGATGCAACAATAAGAGCTCTTTGTCAAATACAATAGGTTGCTTTACGAGTAGTAAGCTTCCCATCTCTGGGTGTGATCAAGTAGAAAGAAGTTAGCTGACCATCTGTTAGGGATTTGAAAAGGAGATTCCTGCACCTTTTCCAGCTGAGATGGTATGACTCTAGATAGTCTGAGTGAATGATCTTGTATATTCACTGTGACAGTTTAAGTACTCACCAGATTCTTTTCAATATCTTGATCCGTGTTTACCTCTGAATCGGCCGTCTTAAAGTCAGTCTACAAAGAAAGAAGCAATTATATTCAGGATTGTTCAGAGACGTTTTAAAAGGCAGAACTGCTCTTTAGTAATTTTACCTAGAAATCTGTCACAAGTAACTAAGCAGCTAAATTTTGTTTTCCCTTAGTGGCTTCTTAACAAGGGAAGAACTCTAGGTCTAGCAAATAGGAGCTGGCATGTATATTGCATGGAACATTTATCCCACAAAAGAACCTGAATGAGACCCAAGAGCTGACAAGAGAGACAGCCTCAAGTGTGAAATAAGAATTTCGCCCCCTACTGCCTACTGTGCCCATCTTTCCTCCTATAACAAAGCACACCAAGCACTAGGAGGCAGGATCCACTGTACTTCTTAAGAGGTAGGTCAGAGAATTAACAAGGATTCCTCCTGCAAGGACAAAGATGGGAAATATGAATGCTAATGACCTACACTCATCCATTAGTCGGTGAAAGAGATTATACGTAGGTCATAAAGTTTCTCAGCGCCACGATAGGACCCTGGCTCCTGGCTTTATTATTTATTGAACACCAGAAGGATGACATCACACAGCACCGCACGAAAATCGTACGATAGTCGCCAATAAAAAAAACGGGACAGAGTAGTTCTCCACCACCTACGAAGAAAAACGTCTCCTACCCTCGATAAATATAGAAATACATCAATAGCCCAAATTCCACGTTAGTAGTAGAAACTTGATACTTGACCTGTACAGCAATGTTCTGAGAAAGCTTCAGGGCAGAGCTATCCTGATCATCCTCATCCACTCTGACTCCTTCAACCCCATTTGCTGGAGGCACCACAGGTCGGAAATCCAAGCCTGTGTCCCTGCTACCTTCCTTTAGGATGGAGGCTGGTGGGGATTTCTCTTCAGAACAATTCCTGGAGGCAAGCTGCTTTGTATGGCCCCCTGCCTTAAGAGACCGAGTGACAGGATGGAGGCTCTCCCGGAGGCATGTGTCCCCCTCCTCTCCTGCTGTGTCGGCCACGTCCTTCAAATCAGACTGAGACCCACCGCCAGAAAGACAAAGGGCTGCGGCTAGCAAGTTTCCTCCTAAAACCGCCCGGTGCGCTGCTGAAGTGTCACCTGCTGATGAACCAGGACTCTGCTCTGGGTGTTCCAAACGGACATTTCTGTTACTCTCCTTGGTTATCGTTTGGCTACTTACACTCGACAGAGGCGAGTTCTTGTGCTTCTGTGCAGGGTCTTTGAGGCTATCAAAAACACAAGATAAAAAGTTTCACTCTTCACCCAATCTTAAGGAAGCTTAAAGACATAATATCTTTAACGTAACGACTAGAAGAACAAAACCAGACTACATGAGCCCCTCAAATTATCAGAATGACGTGGAACTTGGTCTTTGTCCAGCGACTCTGACCCATATGCGGGGAGTAGAGCCTGATGGTTAGAAGCCGGGTGCTGGAGACAGACAGTTCCTGTCGGGTGACCGTAAATAAACATAATAAATGACCCCGAAGAGCCTCAGATTTGTGAGGCCCAATCTGAATACTTTTGGGGAATGTCACTGAAACAGCCTACTACTCATTAAGAGTTTTTCATTTAGTAAGCTGTACTGACTTGGTTACACGTCATGTTCTAATAAAAAAATATTAATTTAGAAAAAATGTTTTTATTCCACTCTCACGTTTCATAAAAATAATTTTCATTCAAATCCCTCACACAGATCTTTGGCCAGAACCACCTTTCGGGTTCCTTGACAGCTTCCCAGAGCACAGGATCCTCACTTGAGGTTGTCTGAGGTACAGACACCAAATCCAAAACTGAAGCTGTCAGTGGGACCTTTATCCCGGACAAATACATGCACACGGAGAAACACTGGGAAAGCCGTTCTGTCGTTTGTCATGGCCAGTTACGTATTGCTTTTTTTGAAGAGATCTTTAAAACCAATATACAGTGACATCTAACATTCACAACAATGAACCTGCCAACCAGGAATAATGACTGCATCTGTGTGAAATTTCTTTGCCCCCTTTAAAAAAAAAAAAACAAACAAAAAAACAGATTATGTCAACTGATGTCCTTAAGTACCCCAAGCCAGCACTGACTGAGGTTTTAGGTGACGGTGCCTTCCTGTCTTCAACAACACATGTTGTTCAAAATAAAAGAACCAACAGTGTCTTTGGGGTACGAAAACCTTCATGAAGACCTCTAGCTGACTCCTTCCTAAGAGTTACCTGGGGAAGTGGGGGAAACACTTAGACTATTAATTTGGGCATATACAGTGCAGTCCTTGGGTGCAAATCCTGCTCCGCTATTTACCAGTTGTCTGACTCTCGTTAAGTTACTTCACCTCATTCGTCAAACTGAAACATGACCCACCTAATAGGGTTATTGGGAGGATGACGTGAAATCGGGCATCTGAAGTATTTAGTACAGGGCTTGGCACAGTACATATTCAATCAACCCTAGGTGCCATCACTATTCCTAGGAGTATGTGGATGATTCTACTTATAAAATGAAGATCCAGGATTATGGTTAGGCTTACTCAACATTTTCCCCCATTACCCATTAGCCAACAAATCTCTAATTTAAACCGGTATTTATGAGGTGCTACCGAGTCAGACAAGCCTGGGTTCAAACCCTGACTCCAGTGTAGCTCGGCAACCCTGAGGCAAGTGTGTCTCAATCTCCTCACCTGTAAATGGGAATAACATTAGCACCTCCCTCCTAGGGCTGTTATGAGGATTAAATGTGTTAATACATATTCAACTGTTGGTACAATATGATCTATTATAAGGGGTCCCAGGTGCTCTAGAAAAGAGTTGAGGAGGAATATAGAGTTGACTTAGCACAACACTGTACATAACTATGCATTAAGGACTGTACAATGCAAAGCTGGGAAACCGTAATTCAGCCCTCAAGAGTGTAGACAGGAGGCAAAATATCTACGTAAAGCAGGAAGCCATAGGAACAAAGCTATCTGTAGATAATACAGATACAAGTATATCTGTGGGTATGTATGAATATACACGTGCTTTACACATATATATATGCATACACATCTGTATCTCTACGTAACACAGAACACATACAAATACGCAAGTATAATATATAGTATCATTATAATATATGTAATCATAACATAAATATACAAGCATAATATGCAGATATAGACACAGATATTATGTTATAAATATACAATTGAACATACAGTAAAGGGTGGGGAAATACTAGCATTTTCAGAAGAGTTTCACCCCCTGTATTCTACTGACACACTTACCATGCCTGCTGAGTGCCAGATGCTCTGTTAGGTACCATAAATACACACAGGGATCAGACAGTCCCCACCTTTAAAAAGCTTACTCTGGGCCAGGGCCATTAGAGCCAAAAAGAGGAAAACTCCACTCCGTTTCCGTAAGAAGCCATCCCACAAAAGCCCTTCACCCGAATGAAATCTTCCCAGTCAAGGATGCATACGTTACCTTAGACCATCTGGGAGACCTTCGTCTGATTTGGAAGCACATAAACTAGAGGAGGATTCTGGAGGATTGGGGGCACTGGACACCACACCAGCTACCTCAGACGCCGCCGCCATCATGCTCTGTACATTCAGAAACAAATTACAGGCTGCATGTTTCCAATTTTTAAAACGAGCCTATCTTTCCCCATTGGAAGGTCCATACCAGAGTTGTTCCAGGAAAGAAACACAAAGAAAAAGCTGGGTCCCAAGAGAAAATACTAAGAGTTTTTCTTAGTAGCAGGGTATTAAAAGAGCCACTGGGCACAAGAGGCCCCAGTGGACACGGATCCTCAAAAATCACCAGCTTTATATAAATCTCTAGGAGTCTGTGCAAAGCTTTTCCGCTTTTGGCAGAGATGCAGTCATTTAAAACAGACTACAGTGTTTGAGAATTGTCCAAACGGTCCACATGCCTTCTTTACCTAGTATTATTTACAAAGAATGCATTTGGGCCCTAATAATCAACCACAGCATACATTTTAAATCATTACAATCATCCTCTGTTCATTTAAGTAAAGTTGTTTGGAGGTGCTCATGTGTGAGAAAAGAGCAATGCGATGTTGGGCAATCAGAGCATCTTCTAGCGTCAGTGTGCTCCCCACACACGGGAAATGTTTGAGAGCCACTGATGGAGAAAAATACAGACTCTTCAGAGTTACTACAGGAATGCAAAAGAGTACAGGAATCTTGGGTACTCCTCCAAGAAACAGAAAGGCTGAGAAACAGGGTAATCCAAGTCAGGGGATGGGGATGGAGGCCTTTCCTGGATCAGGAGGTCATCCTTTGTGTAGCAGGACAAACTCACAGCCCTCTACCGTGAAGACAAAGGGGGAAAAAAATGGGGGGGGGGGTGGAAGTGTTAGTTTAAATTCTTGTTTTTATTTTAATAGCATCACAGGTATTTACATCGCCCCCAACTCCGCCCGGAACCTTCAAGCATGGGCAAGAATGGAGACTGGGCGCTGTCAACACTTCAGTCACAGGCCGGTGACCCGCTGTGCCTCAGTTTCCCCCATTATACAAAGCTCCTAGGAGGAAATGGGCCCCAATCGCCATTACTGCTCCCTCGGGTGCAAACATCCTGCCCCGACAGAGCCCAGGGTCGGGGGTCCTCGGTGCCCAAGGCATGGGTCCTACGTGCGACTCTGCCGCTACAGCCCAAAGGGGAGCGGGGCAGGTACGTCGGGCTGCAGGCTGCGGCGCGGGGTAAGAAGTCGAACGTGTCAAGGGAATCCCTGCGGCGACCGCCAGCGAGGTGGCGACGCCGGGAGCGACGGGTGCTCGGGGGGGAAACGGGGCACGGCCGCGAAGGGGACAATGGGGGAAGCAGCGCCGGGCGGCCACGGCCGCCTCAACCGGGGACCGCTAAGTCCGCCGCCTCCTCCGGCCGGGCCCCCCCATCCCCCTCTATCGCGCTCCCCACCCCCGCCCCACCGCGTCGCCGGCGCCGTCCCGTTCCTAGGCCGGGACCCCTGCCCCGTCCGCACGGGCCCCCTCCACGCCCCCCGCCTCGACGACCCCCCTCCGCCCCTGCCCTGGCCCCCGGCGTCGCAGCCCCCTCCCCGCGCGCCCGCCCCGCACACACCTCCCGCGCCGCGCCCCCGGGAGGCAGTGGGGGAGGGACGGGACGCACCTGAGCGGGCGGAGCGGGGGGAGGGGGCGGCCGAGCCTCGGGGGGAGGGGTCGAGCGCCGGCCCGCGCACCGCACCTCCCACTTCCGGCGGCGCGAGCGGAGCGGGCGAGGCTCGGTCGGGAGAGGAGCGGCCTCGGCGGCACTGCGCCGCCCCCGACGGCGCCCTCTGGCGGCCAGAGCCGGCACCGCGGAGGAGCCGCGGACTCCGCGGAAGCCCCCTAACGTACAAGTGGACCCTCCCGGGCACGCGGGGAGGGAGAGAGAGGCGACGGCGAGAAGGAAGGAGACCCGGCGGAGGGAGGAGCTCCTCTGGGAAGGTCCCAGGGAGAGTCGGGGCCATGGCGATCAGAGAGAGAAGAGGAACGAGGTGTTTTTAAAAAGGTCGCAACCGAGACACCCTTTCCACAGGACGCCATGAAGGGCAAGACCGTCCCTCCGGACAGGGCCCCCGCTGAAGACACCCCGACAACTCGGGGCGGTGGGGCCAGGCGAGCGGAGCCCAGCACGCCCGCACGCTCCCCTCCCGGCGGAGGATGCTCGGAGCGGGAGGCCCCCTAGCGCCGGTTGCTCCGGGCCGCTGGGCCGGGCCGGGGCCCCGCTGCTGATTGGCTGCGCCCCCGGGCGGAAGTGATGCTACTGTCACTGGCTCCCCGGACTCCCGGGAAGCCGCGAGTTTCCGCAGGGAGGCGGCGGCAGCAGCTGCGGCCGGGCCGGTGAGTTGGGAACTCGGTGGGGGCGGGGCAGGGGAAGTCCGAGTGGCCCAGAGCCGGGGGGGCACCGGCCCCTGAGGACCAGGGGGCCGCATCGAGGGCGCCCTCAGCCCCGGCGTCGGGGAGCCCTGGGAGACGGGACACCAGGGTCGCGGATCCCAGGGTAGTAGGGGTCCCTTTGAGGGGAGGGTCACAGTGCACGGGCCAGTCGGGGCCGGAGAGAAGGAAATCAATGAAACTGACTCGGGACTCAACCTGGTTTCTAGGAACCGGGTGGAGAGGCTGCGAGGAGGTCAGTCTCTTGGGACGGTCTCTTTCCAGGACTCAGGGCTGCCCATATTCTTTCTTTTTTTCCCTTGGCACCTGAGAGCTGTTAAGAGACGCAAAGCAGTTGGGTGAGGTTGTGATCTGCTTCCAGGGACTATTTAAGGTTCCTTTCCCAGAAACCTGGGGTGGGAGTGGGAGACGGTCCTGCTCTGCCAATAGAGAGGAGGAAGTGGTGGTCAGGGTTCTCTTCTCTTCCGGAAATGTATGGGATCTAGGGGACTTGGAGGGGCCTGCCTAGGTGGGGCACTATCTGGCTATTTGGCAAGATGTTGTTTTACTTAGTAAGGTTTGGGAAAGGCATCTGAGTGTGTTGGGACAGTGGAGGCTGCTGGAGGGCCGCGAGGAATTTGAGAGGGAATGCGCCTGGGAATGCGAAGGAGACACGGAATGCAGCTTTTTGGAGGGAAAAGTCAGGTGGCCTAAGTTCTCTTCTCCCTTTCCAAAGAGATTTCAGTAAAATACCCATTCTTCTGTCACGTTTTGGGTTGGATCCCTTTGGGCGCGTGTGGGTAGGAAGCCCTGCCTCGGGGTGATACCAGCACAGAGCAGATGACTCCAAAGGAACCCAGTCGCCAATAGGTACACACAGGTTCTGCTGCCCCCCCTCACCTGTCCCTGGCCCCACCGTTGCCCCCTGGTTCTAAATGTGGCCTTTCTGAAATCAAACCATGGCTGGCGATCCCAAGTTTGGAGCATAAGCCCTCACTTACAGGCCACCCAGCCAAGTTCGTGCTGAAGGATGGCCATGTTTAGTGCTACTTTCCAACTGTCTGATCATTTCTCCTTTCCTGGTTGCCCACATGCTTTTTAGGCCTGTTCAGTTTTGTTTGCATTCTCGGGTTTTCACCATTTCCTCTGCTTCCTACCTCTTACTGCCCCTGGCATCCATCAGAGGTACAGAAATCAGGACGTTAGCTACCACCTCGTCTTCTAGGAAATAGTACTCTCTGCTTCTCTAGGAGGGTGTCTTGGCAACAGTTCAAGGCCTCTTCTGGACCTCTGGGGAACAAAGAAAAGAGGGTGGCATGATGGTTAGGATAAGAAGTGGGGTTTCTGTGCCAGTCTGCAACCCACTTGAGATCCCTGGAAATGACATTTGATCATTGGCCATTTCCCTTGGTCACAGGTCATGGCTAGCCTCTGCTGGCTCCACTGAATTTGGAATGACACCATTTCTTCTTTGCTTGGGGCCCACAGGTCTGCAGTCTGTGCTCAGAACCGCCACTCCACAAGACAAATGCCTTGTCTCCATTTGCACAAAATGAGTGTGAGGTGGTTAGCCAAACCAGGAGCTCAACCTCGCACAGAGCCCAGGTAGGACTGGGGCACCCGCGTGGTGAGTCAGCCCTGAGGACAACTGGACTGAGATGTCAGCTGGGGGGAAGATTTATGTCCCCTCGAAATAAGGGAGGAAGAACAGTCATGATTTTGCCAGTCACCTACGGGAGTGATACGACTTTTGAGCTCTTTTCAGAGTCGCAGTGGCAAAGAGCAGTGTGGTGCCTGTTAGCAGTTGGACGTCCTCCCTGATTATCTGGTGAGATGGCATTGCCATCCTGCCGCCTCGCCGGTATCTGCTGGGGTTGTACCTGCTCATACCCCACACCCCGCCCGTCGCTCTGGAATAAATGTTAATGAAAAGAGAGGATCCAGTGTTTACAAACGTAAACGGAGTGGATTGGGGGGTTGTAGGCTGGTTGTCGGTGACCTACAGGGATGGCTTGGTCTCCTTATAGATTCCCCACAGGGGTCCCTGATTTCCTTTCTGTTTGTCTGCAGCCTGCTGCTCTGATGCCGAAGGGGAGGCGGAAAGTGCCACACTTGGATGCCCCCCTGGGCCTATCCACCTGCCTCTGGCTGGAGTTGGCCGGGCTCTTCTTGCTGGTTCCCTGGGTCATGGGCCTGGCAGGGATCGATGGGCCCGGAGCCCACGGTCCAGGGGGGCTAAGCTGGGCCGTGCACCTGGACAGCCTGGAAGGCGGCGGTCCAGAAGAGACTCTGGAGCAGCAGGCAGATGCCTTGGCCCAGGCAGCGGGGCTGCTGAATGCTGGGCGCATCGGGGAGCTGCGGGGGTACTACCTCCTCATCCAGCCGGCGGGGCAGCAGCAGGGGCAGCCGGCGGAGGCTGTGCGGCGGCAGGCGGAGGCCGTATTAGCCGGGCACGAGGCTGTGCGCTGGCACTCAGAGCAGAGGCTGCTCAAGCGGGCCAAGCGCAGCGTCCACTTCAACGACCCCAAGTACCCGCAGCAGTGGCACCTGGTGAGCCCGGCCCTGCCGCCTGCAGCCCTCAGGCGGAGAAATTGGGGTGCTCTGTTCTCTAGAGGGCCTTTGACCCTATTACTCTCCCATTGCCCCGTCCTTTGCCTGAGGACACGTTTCATTTCTGTTGGCTTCGGTGGCGTGTTTTGCTCTCGGGCTCCTCCTTCCATTTGCTGGCTTCTGGAGAGCCAGAAGTTGGGGTGTGGGTGCTGGGGCGAGGCTGCCCGGGCTCAGATCCAGCTCCTCCATTTACGTGGAGATTGTAACAGTGTGTACCTGGCGGAGTTCTGATTGGGAGAAGTGAATTAATATGTGTGTGCCTGATGCTTTGTAAACACTTGGTACCACGTTATGTTTTGTAGTGTTCATAGGATATACGTTATATGGCCGAATCGTATCCTCCAACGCTTGTCCTTGCCACCATTTCACTTTTAGCACCGGTGAAGGATGCCAGGCCTTCCTGGAGAGCGAGCCTGTGGCAAAGCCCTCCCTTGTCCCTCTGTCCCCACCCAGACCTCTCAGTCCACAACCGCTGTGCGGCTCTTTGGTGGTGGCCGGGAGGGAAGGAAAAAGGGACTGCGAGCTCTGACTCATCTGTCTGTGAGCTATGTCGTGTGTCACTAGGCTCCCAAGGCTCTGGAATAGTTCCTGAGCCTATGTTTCCCACAGAATAACAGGCGGAGCCCTGGCAGGGACATCAACGTGACAGGTGTATGGGAACGCAATGTCACGGGGCGAGGGGTGACTGTGGTGGTGGTGGATGACGGAGTGGAACATACCATCCAGGACATCGCACCCAACTACGTGAGTGGCCCTGGGACGCCCCCTCCGACGCCCACATCTTATCTCCTTCTTGTTACTGCCTCAGCCTGGCCCCCTTTCTTAGGGGTCCCCGGGCCACACAGAAGGGCCTGGGAGGTGGGATGGTGTTCTTCATCCTCCCCACTCCCCCAGCCAGCGTTCCAGTCTGGCAGTTAAGACCCGGGGAGAGAACTTGGGGTGGCACTTCCTGGTTCCGGCTGCTGCTCCCTGCCCTGGGGAGTAAGGAGTGGCCTCTGGAGGCAACTTGCCTCTCCCCAGAGTTCTGAGCACCTTCCTCCTCCAAAGCCTGCTCTTTAGGTAGCTCTAAATCTCTTATCCTGGGCTTCCCAAGCCGCAGGGCTGTCTCCTGGGCCCGTTTCTGTAACGGACAAGAGAGAAGTTTGCTGAGACCTGGGGCACTTCTCAGTTTTGCCCCATGTGTCCTGTTCTCACCTCTGCAGCCTGAGAGAGAGGGATGGGCCTGTTGTGCTGGCTGGGAGCCCCAAAGTCCCAGGTTCCCCCAGGAGATCTCCTCTCCCCCTGAGCGCCAGGACCCAACCCATTAAAACTTGTGAATGACCACGTGTCCCCTCCAATGTTACAGAGCCCTGAGGGCAGCTATGACCTCAACTCCAACGATCCTGACCCAATGCCACACCCAGACGCGGAGAATGGCAACCACCATGGCACGAGGTGTGCGGGAGAGATTGCCGCCGTGCCCAACAACAGCTTCTGTGCCGTCGGAGTGGCCTACGGGAGCCGCATAGCAGGTACCTTCCACACTAGCCTCGGTGGGCTTCACTCCCCGCCTGCTCCTCTCCCAAGGGCTGACCGTGTTGATCCCCCTTTCAACACACATGGAATCAGGCAAAGGATAAGTTTATGATAGATAGATCTGTAGGACGTATCAGGTCATTGATTTTTGTC